CCCCCCTCCCGTAAGCTTACCTATTTCAATAGATCCATGTGGCATTGATAAATATTTTCTTAAGATGCTGCTAAATTGGTACTACGTAACCATTTTAATCACCTTCAACTGCGTTGTTTTCTTGTCAGATCTCATATTATGTTTCTTTCCTTTTTTTTCACGCCTTTGGGTGGCCAAAAATTCTCATTGAGGGAGGTTAGACGGCACCACTGGCAGGCCCTACTTCTTTACTTTCCCCTCTGTTGTTTCTGTCTCTCTGTCTTAGGCCTACTTTTTCCAGCACTAAATTACTATTATTGTGTCGACGTGCTTCTCTTTACTCAAATAAAAAAGTATTCACATGACGTGCATGTCCCAGGACGATTAAATTCAAGCATAATTTGCGTCATTTGCTCCTATTTCCTCAGCTTCTTTTTGAAGTCCCTCCTGACCTCTGAAAGTTGTGTATCATCATTAGTCTTACAGGTGCAAATAAACACTCCATCACAAAAGCAAACAAATTAACAAACAAGCAAGCGACCACACAATGAAAATATCTAACAAAAATCCCCCAAAGAATCTATGGTCTTACGATTCTTCTGCTTCCTGCACTTCCACATTTGTCCACACGGCACGCAACTCTTGGGGAATTCCCTGCATTGGCAAGCACCATCGCTACAGCAGGCGCAATCCGAGCGGCCAGGGTCATGGTCACAGGAACACGTGGTACTCGTTGACCAATGAACTCGTTTGGCTTATTACAAAGATACATAGGTGAATACTATAATATTGTTTTCTGAGAGAAAGTCAGTGTTTGTAGAAAGGCTATTGTTTCGTTCTCTAGTAAAAAACATATTGAAGGACACGTTTGATCACACACATACATACACAAGTCAACACATATACACATATAACAGGCATGCAAACGCTTACACACATACACACTAACGCAAGCACACACACTCACACACATACATACACACACACACACACTTAAACACCCACTCACACACCCACACTCCCACACACACACTTAAACACACATTTATATAATACACATACATATTCACTTGGAGACCAAAATCACCGGAAAGGGCGTTGAGACAAACATTATGTTTCAGTTCTCAAAAGCTTTAGTTATTTATTCTATTAGATAAACGACTCATAACACCTGTTCCCAGTAACAACATGAGTATCATGGCGTAAAAGAAAAAGACACAAACTCAAAGAAAGCTATGCCTGCGATAGAAGGATGACCTTAAGAATAAAATATGCGCGGTACTCCGAAATTGGAATTTCGAACCAACGTGACGTTTACAGTTTGTCGTCCTCCTGGATTACATCCTTTTAGCTTTGAGTTTTCTCGCTTTAAGGAAAAAACAACAACAACACATACACCCCCAAACACACATACATGCGCAAAACAACAACAAAAACAACAACAACAACAAAAACAACCACAACAACAACAAACCCCGCCCCTCGTATTCAGTGTCTCAGTGGGTGTTCAACGTTTAGCAAAAGCATGCAATAGATCACCACAATAAACGGAGATGATAAGAATATGAGAGCACGTTTATATTGGTGTACTATATTTAAGGAGCAGAAAATCTGGTTACCGCAGATCCTATCAGCCTTCAGTGAAAGGCTGGAAGTAGGAGTCATGAGGTCGGTTACATTGCCCCACCGGTTGTTGTAGATAGCCTCTGACATGACAACTCGGTTCTCCGCCTCCAGAACCCGCTCGTGGCTCAAGTTCAAGGACACGTCAATATTCAAGGCAAAAGGGTCGCTGAAGGTCAGGCGAGCTATCTGTACAGTGAAAAGATTAAACGTTGGTAGAAGTGGGAGGGGGGGGGGGCTAACAAGATCAGTATGGTAAATTAAAGTAGTTTGAGATTTTAAACGGAAGGAAACAATTGATGTGCGGTTCTGACAGACTGACTTTGGACCTAAGTGGGGCTACAACATGTATAATGATGCCCAACTTGTGCTATTTGTTTTTATAATCTTAAAGTCCCTCCAACATTATAAACATCTTATTCTGAGAAAAAAATACCAACAACAACAACAAAAGACGGATAGAAACAGCTGCCTGATACGAAAGAAGTAAGCTAAAGGATCTGTCAGTAACTTCACTCATCTACCATAGGGACGATTGAGTCTGATATAATATGTAAAAAATCATAATTCTTCCAAGCGAAAGATCCATTTTGTAATGGGCTGTAAATTTGAAAGGTCTGGTCCATAGAAAATAAGATTTGAATTCTAAACCCCGAGTAGTAACACACAGTAGGCAGCCTTTGAAAACAACGCACTCTTGAAAAGGTGAAGGTGGTCCGTCGTTCAGTGAACTTTGACCTACACATCGTCACCTTACCAAAATTCCGGAGGCGTTTGGACTTTAATTTATTGATGATGAAAGGGAAAAGAACCAGCATCTCCATCAAGATAGGACTGCTCCTCATGACGCCAGAGCTGTTTTGGGCTGAGTCAACAATCTTTTTGATTACAGGACAGTCAGTTCTACTGAGCACAATCAAACCTCAAACAATCCGGACCTGAGTCCGCTGGACTTTCACCACTGGGGTTTTTCGGAGGACACGGTGTATTGGAAAACCGTTGAAAGTTTCTAAAACTTGAGAGAAACCATCAGGGAGAGCACAAGGGAGGATTTCTCCTGAGCAGTGTCAACGACTGTGCGTGTCAGAATGTGCTTTACTAAAAAAATGGGCGTATCTGGAAGATATCTTGTAACTTTCTTTGTGGCTGTCCTATTTTATTGTTATTTAAATCTGTACACAATCAATCCTGATAGAAATTCCACGTTCCAGCAAACTTTGGTGTTTGCATCTTTGTTCATGACTGTTTTATTGGCGTTCTTTTGGACGAGTTTTTTTCTGGTCATCTGGTGTAAAACAAAACAGTAAAAGTTACTCCCATAGACATCGAGCAGTACCTCGGCTGTGATGACTGTGCCATCTTGCGCCACTGTAATTTTGTTCTCTTTAGGCTCCGTGTGCGTCTCCTTAATCATGGTCATGTAGTCTGCGAGGTACACGTTCAAGGTCACATTGTAAGCGGTAGCTGTTGAAGTTGGCAGGTGTTTGACACTGACAAACATATCCACCGTCGTTCTGAGAAGACAGATAAATGAGAACATAATCTTACTATTATTTAATAGCTGCGTTTATGCCATTAGCACAACAACCTACAAATTTAGCTTAGAATATCATGTCTTGGTTTCGACTGCCACATTACAGTCGCGACTAATTATAGACGACAATTTTCTTTTATCTGTTGCTCTTTTAAACTAAACTGAAGAGCGAGCGCTGGCATTTTTAAAACCTGGAATTGGAAAGCAATTGCTTGATTTTGGAGTATTTGATAAAGATTCATAGGATCGAAATCTACAACTTTATAAATTTTTAGGCTTAAAATCATGACAATCCCACTCTGCCATGTTCTTGAACGCAACAATCATTACAATTTTGAGGTTTGAAAAGTGTGTGGTTTCTTCTAAAAAGTGACAGAGAGGTTGACGTCACCAAAATTACAATATGATATAGATTGATAGGAGCTTAATTTCGTTCGTTCCCTTTATTTCTTGTTTTTATCCATCCGTCTGTCATTTTGTGCATGTATTCGTGTATCTATGTAACTATTCATGGGAAAATGCATTGTTCTCTCTCTCTCTCTCTCTCTCTCTCTCTCTCTCTCTCTCTCTCTCTCTCTCTCTCTCTATCTCACCGGGCGTCATAGGAACAGAGAGCTGCCTGGCTCATGGATACCCATAGATCAGGCATCCGAACATCTGGGGCGTCCAGCGTCACAGGGATTAGCCCCGCCCACAAGATGACGTCACGGAAGGAAGTGGCCAGCTTGACTTCGTACATCGCACCGTCCTGCAGTGAACAGGCAAGGATGGTCTTCAGGATGCGGGTGCGAGCTTGTGAGCGTGTGTACGTGTATGAATGCATGTGCGTGTGTGTGTGCGTATGTATTTGAGTGTGTATGCGTGTGTAAGTATGTGTGAGTGAGACTTATAGATAACGCACTCACACACATAGGTACATACACATACACATATAAACGCACACTCAAATGCAAGCTCAAACAAACACACTTACAGCAAGTTAAAAATCAACACACACATTCACGCGTGAGTAAACACACACACGAACACACACACACACACACACACACACACACACACACACACACATACCTCACACACATACTCACACACACGAACACACACGCACACATACACGCAGGCGCACCAACCACACACGTAAAGGGTTTTTGTTGTGTTTGGGTTTCAAAGCATTGTCAAGACAATGCAGTTAATGAAGGAAGCCGATTCCCGTTATGTGCCTGATGAGACACGAAAAACAAAAACACTAGATTGAGAGGGAAAAAAAAAAGAATTTAAAAACCGGACTCCGGACTTTGGGGATTGAGGGTGAAATCTTCAAATAACAATATATCATATTCTATGGAGCATTAATTTCTAACCCGTAGAATTTCTAAAGAGCTGTTATTTGATGACCTTTTCAGTTGATAAAGGTTTGGAAATTTTCGTTTTTTTCAGCTCCTGGTTAATATCAGCATTGCTTCCGCTAAATGCTAAGCTTATATTTTTAAAGAATCGAAATAAGTTGTGAAAACTGCACTTAATTAACATGTTGCCTTTGAAGTCAATCACGTTTGGCTAAAAATCCAAATGAGTCACCACTGAGGTTCAAAGACAATCAATACTCTTCCGTTGACCGAGAAAAGGGTTGATCACGCTAGAAGCTTTAGTGGTAACTGAAAGAAGCTCATAAGAATATTGTGCACATTATGTAGATTAAGGTAACTGGACTATGTACTAATTCCAACAGCCGTGTTTTACGCGAAATCTGCGGCGCGCGCGCGCTGTGTGTGTGTGTGTGTGTGTGTGTGTGTGTGTGTGTGTGTGTGTGTGTGTGTGTGTGTGTGTGTGAGTGTGAGTGTGTGTGTGTTTGTGTGTGTGTGGGGGGGGGGGGGGATAATTCACTATCACAGCCAGAGTGGCTCAAATAATTAAGCGATTTCTGTTGTAAAGCGCGTATGTTTGGTCTTTTGTGTAGTTGTTTTACGGGCTTGTCTGTTGCCCCAATACCCTACTTGTCTATTTTTAAAATAAATTATTTCTATTTACTCAGACGGATGTTATGCCCCCCCCCCCTTTTGACGAAATTCAAAATCATTTATGACTGAACTTTCTACCCTACCTGTCAGAACCCACCAGGATTGAGAAGAATTTAACGTCCCAACAGAAAGAAGAATATATATATTTTTTAATGCTCCCCACTCGGTGATTGATCCTGGGTATCCTGTGTGCAACGGCACAGTGCCAGACCATAACACGACAGATGATGGTACTCTGACATTAAACCCATTCAATTTTGAATAAGGACGAAGCGAACACATATTGGTCCAACAGCAGCAGATCAAAAGGAAAGTTGCGGAATATTTCAAACATCCATAAACAGACCAGAAATACAAAATTTGCATAGTTCATAGTATACATTATTGCTATATGCCTTTTAAAGTGTTAGACAAAGGAAACAAAGTTGAAAACTTCGTCTGAATAACGAGGTTATGCTTCTGTTAGTATTCTAGAACATCGTGTCTTCAAGCGGTCGAATGACGAGAACGCGCGACTGCATTGAGTTAAAAAAGCAACCAGAAAACGAAGACAAAAGGGAAACGAAGGTACGCGGGAGTGGTGTTGTACAGATTGAAGGTGAGTAAAACATATTCTCACGAATAATGATTTTAGTGATGATAATTAAAACAACAACAACAACAGCAGTCCCGTTGCGACCAGTCACTATTGGCAAATATCAGGACTGGTCACTTATCTGGGCTGTAGGCCTACAAAAACAGAATAGACAACACATCGAACACAATCCGTCCATTGTGCAGCGAAGAGCCTCAATATTTGGAGCACTAGCTGCAGAGTTGCCCCGCTACAGAGGTCTGGCGGTGGCATCTCTTTGGGGAGGACTCAGGCCTCACCCGCTACCCAAGAGAGGCGGTAACCCTGGTGAAGAGCACGCTCTTCTAGGCTCCAAACAATTCGGAAGGATAGGCTCCAAAACAAAACAACCCGAGGTAGTGCTACTGACTGAAGTGTCTTTAGGCCATTCCCAAGGGGGGGGGGGGGAGCATTAACATGTTCTTATGCATTGTAGAATTGTAAATGGGCTGATTCATCAATTTCATGGTCATAATTGTGCCTGAACTGCAACATGGAACGGCTGCTTTTTCTTTCCTAATCCTTACTATCATCATTTTCCTCTATTTCTTTTGTAGTTTGTCACACTCTTGTGACCCCGTTATTTCCAGTGCGCCTTGATAGTCGAAGCAGACTTCGTGCTGTTGAAGCTAGAGAGGTGAGCAGAGTAAGTCATTCCCAGTAAGGACTTCTCTGTTGACATCCACCTCTTGGCGCTCATATGACCTTATGTAGTTGTGAGCGCCGTAAAACCTCTACTAAAACAATACACACAAAGCCAATACCTTCAGGTCGCTGTAGTCCTCCACCCTCACTCTGAATGTGCTCGTTACTGTCATGTTGTCGTGTCTGGCCGAGTCTAGCGGTATCCTTGGCAACTGGAGAATGGCTTTGTTGTTCTGGTATGAGCCTAACGTCGAAGTGAGTGCTCCCTTCCAGTCTTCCAGTAACTCACGAGTTTCTTCTGATATACCCTCTGTGTTGGTCAGAGACACCTGTACGATGCAATTCAAGAACAAATAACAACAGCAACAACAACAAAATACAACTGTTACTGTGTTGTCGCTTATGGTCAGTCAGAATGATAACGTTTCGCTATCAGATAGATAGATAGATAGATAGATAGATAGATAGATAGATAGATAGATAGATAGATAGATAGATAGATAGATAGATAGATAGATAGACAGATAAATAGAAAGACAGATAGATAGATAGATAGACATATATATAGATAGATAGATAGATAGATAGATAGATAGATAGATAGATAGATAGATAGATAGATAGATAGATAGATAGATAGATAGATATTGAGTGAGAGAGTGAGTGTGTGTGTGTGTGTATGTGTGTGTGTGTGTGTGTGTGAGAGAGAGAGAGAGAGAGAGAGAGAGAGAGAGAGAGAGAGAGAGAGGGAGAGAAAGAGAGAGAGAGAGAGAGAGAATATGTTATTCAGGTATTTCACCACTGGTATTTGACTTGGGTAAGTAAAGGTAACATTTGTTTCAAACAACCTGTGCTCATAGAAATGCAATCTTGCAATAAATCTGTTATGATTGTTCCGTGAGAACAAGATGGACACAATAAATCGACAACAGGGTGGACCCCCCCCCAAAAAAAAAAAAGCAGTGAAAAGAACAAATCCAAACAAAACTATTGTTGTGTATATGAGTATCAAATTGGTTTATTTATAGAGACGGAATGCTTTTACGTAATGAGCTCTTTTATCCGGGTTTTTTTTCTCCAATCCTGCAATATCCCATTACTCTTGTGTTAATTTGTCCCAAGGGAGTGCATGCCATCGTCCAAAGGAACAATAATGTATTCTTAAGTGTCAAATTAAAGGGACGATCGGCCTAGGCACATGGACGAAACCCCTGGTCGATTCCAGAACAGTGTTAACTAGAGCCAAGAAAAACCCCCACCAGATGTTTGCTTTTCTTTTGCTTTTTTATTGCTGTTTTTTAAATCTTTTGTTGTTGTGTTGAGAAATGAAGAAAGACCGAGTGAGACGGTGTGCAACGGCATCTGAACCTGTCTCAGCAGGATGATCACAATTTTCGTTGTTGTCGTTGTTATTGTTGCAGCTGTCGCTGCTGCTGCTGCTGCTACTACTTTTGCTGCCGCTGCTGCTGCTGCTGCTGCTGCTGCTGCTGCTGCTGCTGCTGCTGCTGCTGCTGCTGCTGTTGTTGTTGTTTTGTAATAATTGTTGTTGTTGTTGCAGTTGTTGTTGTTGTTGTTGTTGTTGTTGCTGTTGTTGCTGTTGTTGATAATAGTATAATTGTCATCATCTTTATTTTTACTGCATTTATTCTCAGAGTATTATTCTAATTGTTATTATCATTAGTAAAATAATATCGATTACTATTGTTGGTATTGTTATTTTTGCTATTGCTATTTTATCATTATCATAAAAACAAAAATAACTTGTGTATATTTAGGTGTCCCTCCCAAAAAACTGGGTTTGTCGTTTCCTGGTTGTTTTTAGCAGTGAGTGGGATTCATCAAGCACTACCTCATTTGGTTTCTTTTCCTTCAACGATATTCTCAGCAGTCTCCTAAGAAACCACATTTCTGTTGCTTTTACTTTACTTTCACTGTCATTAGTTTTGCACAGCATTCACAGCCGTATAGAAGGGTAGACCAAACATAGCATTTCAGAACTTTCATTTTGGTAGCCATTGAGATGTTTCAATTTTTCAGGATTGGGCTCATTTTGTGGAACATTTGGCATCAGATGTTATTATATATTATCCTATATATTTAAACTGTTGGACTTGTTTAATCATCATAGTTATACTACTACTACTACTACTACTACTACTACTACTACTACTACTACTACTACTACTACTACTACTACTACTACTACTACTACTACTACTAATTTAGTATTATTATACTATTATCATCTTGAGTTGAGATTAATATTACCTATACAAATAATATTGTAACAATTACCTTTGTTACTGTCAATACTACAACTACTACTACTACTACTCCAATTATTGTACCTCCATGAGCTGTACAGTGAGCATGACCTCGTTGGACACGTTCTCATAGGGAGTCAAGCATTCGACCTTGGCCTGCAAGAACTGTCGAGAAGACTCGTGGATCACGTGGGTCTTGAATATGCCCATGATCGGCTGAGTGAGCGGGGTCAGAGCCCGCACTGTGATCTTGGGCTCAGGGATGACGACATAGTTGGACACAACAGTCCGTGAGGAGGCGCTGTAGGGGTCCCAGCCTACTGTGAGGGTCAGCACGTTTCTGATGAGACTTCCCTGGATCACGGAATCTGAGGGAACACGTCTTTCTTTCGTCAGATCAGAACTATTACAATTTTGTCCAAAGTGTACTTAACTACATATTGGGTGCACCTGGGACAAAATACGATCTAGATCTAGATATGTGGCGACGTTTTGTCTCTCGTTTACGCACATGGAAGAGATAAATGAATTGGACACGACCTACAGACGAAAGGGAAACGATGGTACGTGGGTGTGGTGTTGACAGATGCTGGGTGTAAATCGTCCCCAGGAATAAAGACAATAGTGATAATTATAAAAGCAATAAATAACAACAGTAAAAAAGCATATATTTAATGTAAACATCTGGCAAAGGAAAAGAGAACTTCCTTTTGTTTATTTGTCTTTTATTAAAAACCACCAACCACGAAGCATTTAGCACAAAAGATATATACTTTATCAAGCAAAGAAAAGCAAGCTAATATATTATAATTAACAGTTTATGACAAAACACTCTTTATATAAATAGTCACCATTCGCTTTCAAGTTGTTTCATGAAGTTTGATAATTGGATACCTTTGAAGCAGGTAATGAAATGAAATATATGTAAACACTATATACCTAGTGTAATAAGTTATGAAAGGTGCTAACCTTTGACACTCATGTTGAAACTCCCATTGAGGGACCATAGCCCCGCTGAGAGGCCGTCGGTGAAATTGAGAGTGAAGACTATCCCTTTGTCGTTCACGTCGGTGCTAGGTAACGCTTCTTCCGAAAACTGTAGAGATGATGATGAAGATGATGATGATGATGATGATGATGATGATGATGATGATGATGATGATGATGATGATAATAATAATAATAATAATGATAATAATAAATAGTAATAATAATTGACTAGATTTTTAAAGAGCTTTATCTCAAACAAGTATAAGCCCTGAGATGACAGTTTAATTATGCTGGTATACGACAGGTTAGACGAGAATATACGTTGGGTTGGAGGGAGGTGGGGCAAATGTGGGTGCAGATTTACAGTAGGGTATTTACAGTTGGGCTTACGGACAGCTTACAATTTACTTATATAAATACTTACATAAATGCAATTATCATTATGACTTATTATGCTATATGGGTTTTCCTTGTTTTTGTTGGTTTTTTCATGCGCCCATCAACACAATTTAGATTATTTAGAGGAGGGCTTCAACCCTGCTTGTCAAGGTCAACCTAGACTGAGAGGGTTCCAACATCCCGGCAGAAAGACGAGGATACTCGACAAAATCTCCTCATACAGGAGAATCAACCTCAACCTAGATTTTCTGCGTTTGACGACAAAGCTTCTAACCGCTATGTCACAGACGCTAGTACAGGGTTGTGGAGGGGAGGTGGGTACATACGAGGATGTTACAAATTTACAGTGGGGTGCAATAGCCTTATAGATTGTCATATTATTTATTTATTATGCAATACATTTGTTTGGTTAAAGAGAGAAGTCTCCTTGACTTTCAAAGAAACTGAACACGGGGCAAAAACTTTACCTTCGATTCTTCTCAAAAAGCATTTTTCCTGGATAGCCCCCTTTTGCAGAACAGCAATCATTTATAAGGCGTGGAAAATTAGAATTTGTAGTTATAAGAAATCTTTTCACAATGAATATTTTTATATGAACTTACAATTACTGAGCTGTTTCTGTCATGGTATGATCCGTTGTTGTCGTCATAAAGGGACCATTCGATGTCCTCCAACACTGTTTCATTAGAGAACTGATGAGAACAAAAAGAAAATTAATAAGAACATGTTAAGTGTTAAAGCAAAATTAACAAGAAGTAATTACGAATGGTATTTGTGGTATTTGTTTTTCTACCACACCCTTCAAAAAATGAATGAATGAACAAAATGAATGAATGGATGAATGAATGAATGAATGAATGAATGAATGAAGGAAGGAAGGAAACAGTATGAAAGTCATTGACAACTGCTGGACTTCACACCGTATATGTTGCTCCATAGACGAGAAGCAGTTTCTCCACTTATCGTCTAGATACGTCTAGGTAATATGGGTGATGGATGGGGCCGAAATCTTCTTTTTTTGCGATAGGATCGATTTGGATTATCAAAGCTAAAAAACAAAAACAGAAACAAAACTGGACACGGTTCACTGAATAGGTGGGACTCGCGTTAACGGAATGTCAGGATCAAAGTTCAAAACATGTAAAAACTTTGTTATTCGGCGCTGCGGGAGCCCTTAACCTTTCTTTTCAGCGATCAGCCACCTCTACCTCACGCAATGAAACAATTATCAAAATATTTACTTCTTAGAGTTCACCGCTCCCCCCTCCTCCAAAAACAAAAAACAACAACAACAGCAAAAAACAACCAACCCTTTCTTTTTATAATATTTTTGGATTTTAATTTTTTTCAACATAATAAAAATAAATAAATAATGGAGGTGGTAAGGCGCTCCCTGTTGCAAAGAAAATGTTGACAGAGCTAGGTATAGTAGACAAACATGTGTTTTATAAGGATTAGTTCAATAATTCTCTTATCTGTCCTTGAATTGAGGATTGGCAGAGTTGTTTAGTTTAGACACGTACAAGAAGAATCCGCATTTACGACACACTACTTAAATTGTTGTTCTTGGCCGCATGTACCAATACTAACTGAAGAGAATTATCTACCAGGATTGGTCACGAAAGAGAAAACTACTCTGGTTAATACTGGTAAACAAACGTTTACTAGGTTGTACATTTTCAGGGCTATATTAAGAGAATGAATTTCAGCATGGTCGATAGTTACCTATTATTTTCTAAGTATCGCTACGAAGTGTATTTATTGTCAACTGTGTAGTTTATACGTAGCTAATCAATTTATGTGCACTTTTAACATCTTGGCCCGGAGGTACACCGTCTCGTTTACCTGGGGGACATGGTCTCAGACTCACACTTTGCAAGTATTACAATTTTCAGTAGAGGACGCCTATTGAAATCTGGAAGCGGAGGATTGAGAAGGGAGAATAAATTATAAATCAGCGTCAATATTAACCCCTTTACTATCAGGCTCGAGAACTGGGTAATCGAGCAGGTAGGGGAGGAAGAGTGCTTTCCTGTGTTTCATAGATCTCCATTTATAAGTATAAACATTCATTGTACCTTTTTGTTTGGTTTCAGAGGTTTTCTCGTCTCAGACCAGCCAAAAATCTCCGTCCAACACCCGATATCCCAGAAGGTAATATTATGTGACACTGAGCTGATCTCTCAGAGACGACCATTGTGTTTGCAAAACACTGCCATGCCCTTCACGTTCTCAAAATCTCTTTTATTTCCCCCCCTCGGCTAGTCGGGAATGGGGGAATGGGGTTCGGGGGTAATGGGTTGG